CCCCCGCCCCGCCCCGGGCCCTCTCCCCCTTCACCCGCTCGGCCAGGTAGGCCTCCAGCTCGCGCCCCTCCAGCCGCAGAGACTCCCCAACCTGGCGCTTGGGCAGCCGCGCAAACGTGATGGTCAGGCTGTGCGCCACAAAGCGCCGCGCGGCGTCCATGAAGCCAGGGACTGCGGTGGGGTGGAGCGAAAGTGGGGGTGCTGGGTTGAGATAATCAGGAGGGAGCACGGGGCAACCACGACAGGGGCACAGCGCAGGAACATACGCGGGCACACGAACACTGCGGCTGCAGAGGGCGACACTGCTTCTCGCGAGGACCGCCACCGCGCCCGGCCCCCTCGGCCTCGCCAGCTGCGCCCCATGCGTCCCGCCACCCAGGCGCGGCCCGCACCGAGCGTCAGCAGCTCGCGCGAGCCCTGCGCCAGCGCCCAGAAGTCTGGCAGCCTGCCGCTCTCCAGGTGGGCCGCCAGCAGCACCAGCGTCGACACCGGCTCCTCGGCCTGGGGGGGGGGGGCAGGGTTCAGAGAGGGGAGACATCCGCGCCACAGGCCATCCATGTCGTAGCCGCCACTTTAAATTTGGAAGGACGTAACGCAGCTTGCCTGCGGCAGCTGCTGCGGCCGCGCCAAGAGCAGTGGCGGCAGCATTCACAGGCTTCGCGCCGCAGCCCTGTTCCTGGCATTCGAGGCTTGTGAATTTTGCCCCAACTGCACCACACCGATGTTTTGTCAAAGTGACGGGTGAAGTCTGCAGTGGGCGCATGCACAGCGCGTGCACGCCCCACCGCGCTGCATCTTGCCTGCAGGCGCTCTGGCACCAGGTAGATGCAGGTCCGGTAGTCCGCGGCCGGCAGCTGCGCCAGCGCCCGCAGCAGGACCTTGGCCGCCGTCTCGGGCCGCGCCACGCTGGGCTGCAGCGCGTAGAGACGCAGCACCGCCAAGGACGCGTCCAAGCTGAACGGCTTGGCGCCAGCAGCCTGCGTTATGTGGAGCGTACCGCTCAGGTTGGAGCCTGGTGCCCCAAGCATGCGCGCTGCTGCTTGCTGGATGAACGCAGCCAAGCTTGAAACGCAATGATCACACATCCAGCTGTGCTGCTACCCATTTGCTGCAGCAAGGGCCGGGCCTGACACAAATGCAGTAGTGCAGCACACGGATTGCGCCAAATGCGCAGAGCAGCGCACCTGCTCGTCCACCTGCTTCTCCAGCTTCTCCAACAGGTCTGGCCGGTACCTGTGTTTGTTTCATTCCCGTAAAGTGTCATTGCGTAGGCCACGCGGCCTTCGGTGCAGATCACGGTCCCCGCGGCCCGGCCGCCATCACACAGTGCCCAGCAATAGCATGAATGCACCTGTCTGCTCCACGAACGGCAGCCATGTTCACAGTCCCCGAGCGCGTCTGCTGCTAGGCTTGCTGACGAGCTGAGCTAGCACGGTTCAATGTGTGTGTCTACAAGACCCCTGCTACAATGTCGCGATCACGGGCGAAAAAGACAGTGCCAGCATGCGCTCCATGATTGGTGCGGCACCCGACACTGGGCAGCCATTCACTGCTCGCGCCGCGGCTCTCAGCTGCTCGTGCCGAGCGGCTGCCAGTGAAGAATGCCGCCACGCACTGCAAGTGGTACGCGTTGACGTGAACATACGACCTCTTGTGCCATGTTACACGGCCGTTGCGTGCGCCCCCCGCATGGCCATTGACCGCTGCACCCTGGATGTTGACCGTTGCAAGCTCATTAGTATCGTATGGCTGCCAACGGCCGTGCCCGCATCAGCTACGTTCCTCTTGTCAGCTCGCGCCCTCGCTGTCCTGCTGCAGCAGCGCTCTGATCCGCGTCTCCACCACCTCTGCCAGCTCTGGCAGCCTGCTGTTCATGAAGTGGCCCCTGTCTTCAAACCTGGTGGTGGCCATGGAAGGGGAGGGATGGGCCACCTGTGTGGAGCGCTCCAGATCTCAGCACCGCTGTCAGGCTTGTCACTCCAGGAGGACAAGCGCCTGGATTGGGCTTTTGCATGGGTCGAGCCGCCAAAGCAGCTCAAAGATGAGCCTGTGCAAGCCTCCAAAACTTGGGCACGTGCTTGGCCCCTGCAACGCTGCAACAGCTGCGACCAGCTGCACCTGCGGCACGGAAACGTCCACAGGCACACACCACCACGGCCTCACTTGTGCAGCTCTGCCTCAAGGCCGTCCGCCACCTCCTGCTGCTCCGCCCATGGCAGGAAGGGGTCGTCAGTGGACCCAAACTGCACCACAAACCCGGCGTTGGACCGGATCTTGTCCCACTCCCAGGGCCGGTTGAAGTAGCCGCTGCGCGCCTCAAGCTCGTCCCCCTGGTCAGAGGTGTACGCAGACACCAGGACCAGGCCTGTTGAATGGGGGGTGTTAGCAGGGTCAGGGTGAAGACATGGAGCAGAGGCAGCAGAGCGGGTGCGAGGGGAAATTGATGTCGGATTGCAGTCGGCTAGTGCGTGCGCGGATGGGCTGGCGTCGCAGATGGGGAGATGGACGCACACCGCCCCGCCACTTTGGCTGATCGACAGCCACGGCGCTCTCAATGCATGCGCTCACTGCCCCCCAAATCGCATAGCACGCGATGCTTGCCTGCAACGCGCTTGGTCTCCGCGAAGCGCATGGCTGCGGCCGCGCCTGAAGAGTGCCCCACAACAACGGTGTCCTGGCCCACCCCCAGCTCTCCCGCCATGAAGGGCAGCCAGATGCTCTCCCTGGCACCCACGGGGTCTGGCATGTTGCTGCGGGGCAGTGAGGATGTTGCGTAGCTTCAAGGCGTGGTTGTGGGCTTCCAGGGGCGCGCGCTGATTGGCAGGTCAAGCTCGGTCAGCTTGCCCGTCCCGCGCCTCACCGCAGCACGCAGGTGATGGCGGGCGGCTTGTGCAGGCGCTGGTGGAGCCACCCATACCTGGCAGGCAGCGGGGGGGCCAAGGTGGTTGGTGAAGGAAAGCGTTGTTGGAGCCACCACACTCCCAAAGATAGACGGTCCCTCTAGAACTCATGGCGCCTGCCAACCCAGCACACAGGGCCGTGGGTCATCACCATGCACGCCCTCGAACCCCTTCGCTCTCCCCAAAAATACACTTCAACACATAAGCCCCGCCCCATTCACTGCTTTGCAAACTCCCTGCTCAAACAAACCATATTTGCGCCATCCATTAACAACACACATGGCACCAAGTGTCTGCCGTACCAGTTGGCATTGTAGACGCTGCCGGAGCCGTTGCCTGGCAGGATTACGACACGCACCGGCGCCATCCGTGTCCCTGGCGGCTGTGCTGCCCTTCCAACGAGAGCAGTGACGGTTGCCGTGCAACTGGTGGTCACCCGCCGTCGTCGTGTGACTGGCGCTTGAGCCCCAGATGGTGCGCTGCGCTCGCTTCTGGCCCGGTCGGGCAGTGAGTGACGCCGTCGATAGCCGCCTCGATCAATACACCGCACCGCTGGATTAATGGATCCGTGATGAATATGCGCTAATGGATCGATCACTCCCTGTCTGATGGAGTACGGTAGGACACCTAGGTTCAGATCAGGTTCCACGAATAGTCAGATCTCCGTGCAGTGAGTTCGGATTTTGCCGCACAAAAAAAGCGCATACACATGCAATCATCCTCGCGGTTACTAATGCAGCTAGCACAGCAGCTGGGCTTGGCAATTGCGCGCTCGCACCCCTGCCGCTGCTGGAATGCCTGGCATGCTCCTCCAAGCACGCGTGCAGCTGCTGCTTTGGTCTGCAGTGGACAGCAAAGCAGGCACAGCAGCAGCAACAGCAGCCACAGCCATGTCAGAAATGACATGTATTCCAGGAATAGCGGTGACAGCAGCGACGATGATGACGGTCCCACAACCCGCAAAGGGCCGGATGCAGCTGCAAAATCCCTGGCAGCATCATCCACGGGCGACGGCCTGCTGGCAGGCGGCCTCCTGGCGGAGCTGCGCTCCTGGGCGCGCTACCTGATGCCGGCCTCGCGCTACAAGGCCGTGTACTACCCGACAAGCATGCCCGTGGCGCTGGCAATGCTGCGGCTGGCAGGAGTGGGGCCTGACGACGTGGTGGGCTCATAGGCATTGATAATTGCTAAGCATGGCGCGGCAGGATGCGGCATGTTGATTGGGGGAGCACCGGGTGTGCGCTGTGTTCTACAGCCCATTGGGTGCTGTTGCTTCTGTGTAGCATCCGTTGTGCACACGGCTGCCTTGACCACCCCACAGTCAGAGTTCATGAAGAGCACGACTATCACAACACAGTTAGTGGCATGCAGCGCCACGCAGCTTTGCGAACGCGCAACGCGTGGCCACTCCTCATCTCTTGTGAGCCTTCACAGGTGTTTGACCTGGGGTGCGGCGATGGTCGCATCGTCATAGCTGCAGCACAGAAAATGGGCGCCGAGCGCTGTGTTGGTGTCGAGGTGAGGGCAGGATGCCGGGGAGTGAACGAGGGACCGCAGCAGGGTCGTTGTACTTTTGCGGTGGCGCCACCCATGCACCCAGCCGCTTTTGTCCTACATTACTGCTATATGTCCGTGCCTCAGTTGCCCTGTTCTCCCAACACTCACGCTCAGCAGCCCCCATCCTGATGTCTGTCTTGCCCCCAATCTCAAACGATCCCAGCTTGACCCCCAGCTAGCCGAGTCTGCGCGGCAAGCCGTGGCCGCCGCCGGCCTGGATGCCAGTGGGCGCGTATCAATCATCACTGGTGACGCAGCAGCAGCCAACCTCTCTGGGGCGACAGTTGTGGCTCTGTACCTGTCAGACACCGGCAACAGCGCTCTGCTGGCCGGCGCTGCGAGTCGCGGGCTGGCCAAGGGGGCCAGGGTGGTGTCTCTGTACTTCCCTGTTGGGGGGTGGGAGGCGCACTTGTTGGCGCACGACACGTCTGCCGGCATCGACATCTACTTGTACAGCGCCCCATGATGATTGCATAGTCTATGTAACTCTCGTCCTGATCCTTGTGAGTTGTAATACGTGCAAGTGTCCAATCATGTTAGTCCACAGGGCGACGCAGCACACCACTTCCCCAGGAATCATGCCCCATTGATGTAATACAAGTTTGTGCCTGCATGCATGTGTGCTTTGTGATGTACACAGGTCTGTGTGTGGCCTGTAGCACCACATTTCCAAGCATGGTGGTCACCTGGCACAACGCAACTGCCTAGCCCCAATTCATCCAGCACGCTGTAGTTGTGTTTATATTGAAAGAGAGATGTGAGTGCGGCTAACACCTCTCTCGCTGCACTTTTGCTGCAGAAGTGCTGGCCACGTGCAGCCTGCCAGGCAATTGTCTCTCATGTGCCCTTTCAGAACGAGTAAACCCACCTCGCCCCACAAAGCGGCAGGCCAACTCTCACCTTGCACCTGGAAAAGGACTTTGCTGTTGATCGAGATCTCAACAGAAAATTTGAAATCAACATTCTCGACTTGATGCAGCTTGAACACAGCAGCAACACCGCACAGTATGGAGCGCACACTCAGAGTTGGCAACCACCTGACGCACCCCATGTAAGGACCTCGCACGTCCGGGTGTCACGGACATCACACCCGCTCGAGGCCTGTGCCTTGCACCGTTTCGTCATCCCAAGCAGGCCGAATCATGGTACACACGCATCTACCGCTCCACCCTTTGTCTGATGTCCACACGCTTCAACCATGCGCATGGTTGAAGCGTCAGGCACCACCGCTCTCTCATGAGGGCAGTGCAGAGGAGCCAGTGCTGCACACTTCCGCCGCACACAATTCATAGAATCGATACGCCTCCAGTGTCGCGCTCCGGCTCAAATGCTACAGCAGGCAGCGCTGATCAACGCCTGCAGTACCACACTACACACACTGTACTGTACTGGGCACGAGAGCGCAGAAGGTGCCCAGCAGGTGCAGGCGCTCCCGTTGGGCTGTTGAATTATAATTGATAAAGCCATAGGCATCTCTTACCGCGATTCCTTTTGCTTTTCTGATTCTGACCGCTGCGAGATCACGGCGTGACATCCCCACCTCAGTCCTGCAGCGCACCATAGCTCTCGCAGCCATGCCACAGATCTCAAGCTTGGCTGCATTTGCCGCTGTGGCCCTCTTCGCTGCAGGTGAGGCGATCAGGGTGCTTGTGGAAAGCGGAAGGGTGCCGCAGCACCGCACACAGGGGTGCAAGGGCTGTAATCCAGCATCCGGCCGTACTGTATGATATAGCAGTAACAGCTTGATCGTGCACCGGCTGGGTCTGGCATCTCGGTTGGCCGATCAGGGTCTTGTGATCCCGCTCGCAGCAGCTGAGCACCATACTGTAGATGCATACGATCGATACCAGATCAGAGAGCTCCGATTATCCCATCCCACGAGCATCGCGCCCCCCATGAGCTCCAGCCCGCTGACAGCCGCACTCGTCGTTCAAACGCCGCACGTGCCGTCGCAGGCGCGGCGGCCGGCGACTTCAACTTCTTCCCTGTCATCCCGCCCTCCGTCGTGACCAACTGCACCACCGGCGACTGCGCCTTTCCGACTGCCTTCTCATCCGTCAACCAGACCGCTTACCCTGATCTTGGCAACCAGGCTGGCAGTGGCCTGCTGACCATCGCCATCGCTGACTACTACCCCCTGGAGCCCAGGTTCTACTTCACCCCTGGAGCGTGGTGCGACATGGCAAGCGTCAATGTGTCGCTCGACACAATCGCAGCCTCAGCGCCGGTCACGGCCGTCACCCGCCGCCGCCTGGGGGTGCGCACGGTGTTACAGGCAGCCGCTGCTGGGCCGTCGGACGTGAACATCACGACCGCGTGCCACCTGCTCCAGGTCACGTACAGGTACCAGGGCGATGCTGGTGCTGACTGCTGGCTGCTGCGTCCATAAACATGGTGCATGCCAGGCATGCGCAAACAATGCCAAATGCAGCCTGGGCGCTTGGATACTGTCACTCCGCTCCCAGCTCTTTGCTGTGCCAACATGCTACACACGTGCTTGTCGCCCCTCTTCTCGCCTGTTGCGCTCTCCCCTTCGCCGGCGGCGCCACCCCATGTGCAGGATCGGCGTGTCTGGCGTCTCCAGGAACGCGGCGCCCCTGACGGGCGGCCTCTACGGCATCCACCTCGGAACAGACCTGCCGGAGGTGGGTGGGCACGACAGCATGCCCGGCCTACTGGCTCATGGGGGAGCCATCTTGAGCCGTTCGCGCTCGGGGGTCTGGCGCATGCCCATGCCCTGCATGCGCTCTAACTCGCTCACTGCATTGGCGACTTTGCAAAGCCGCCGTCATTGCACAACCTCACTCATGCAGGGCCTCACGTGCATCGAGGTCAAGGCGGCCTACTCGACGTCCGCCTTTGCCACCACGCCTGACTACACCACCCTTGGCGTGCCTGCGCTGGCGGCTAGCACCGTGTTCAGCAAGCAAGTGTGTGTCTTCAAAATGACCCGGCAGGCCAGCGCCGTCCTCAAGTTCGACATGTGCACCACCGACACTTGTGAGCTGCCATGTCACAGCTGCCTTGCCGCTCAAGGGACGCACCTGGTGCCAGCCCTGCCGCTCAGGCTTGCATCGCGCACCAAGGGTGGTGTATGATGTTCTCACCCTCCCCTTCGCTCCTCTGACTTTTTCCCGCTTACACCCTGCCTCATGCCCGCGTCAGTCACTGTGAATATCTCGTCCGCCTCGCCGCTGCCCGTCAACATCACCTTCAACGGCGCTCCTGTCGCGGAGGGCGCCAACCTGCTGCGCCCCCTGGTCAAGGTCTGGGGCTCCAAGGTCACTGAGCTGGACGGCACGGACGCGTCTGTGGCGCTCGACGGCTCCGCCACCCCGGAAGCCAACTACATCACCCGCGTAAGCGACCGCGCACATCCCCTCGTTCATGCATCGAATTGTCCCGCGGCGCGCCACTGCATTTCTTGCAAGCTCCTTGATACCAGGCATTGTTTGCCTGTGCTAGCGGCGCTCCGGCCCCAGTGCCTTGACACGCCCACCCCCCCCCCCCTTCCCCCCGCTCCTCAC